GGCCCCCAGCTGTGAATATAGGGGGAGCTTCGCTGCTTGCTGCTGCTGCTGCTGCTGCTGCTGCTGCTGCTGCTGCAGAACCACTGCAGCAGATACCTTCTGCTGCTGCAACCCCATCCCCATCCTCACCAGCAGCAGCACCAGCAGCAGCAGCAGCAGCAGCAGCTCCTTCTCTCCCCCCTCCTCCTCCCCCTTCTCCTTCTCCTTCTCCTTCTTCTCCCGCTGCTGCTGCTGCTGCTGCTGCTGCTGCTGCTGCTGCTGCTGCTTGCTGCTGCTGCTGCTGCCGCCCCCAAAACCTAACATGCCGCAGAAATATCTCTGAAGCCCCCCGCGGGATATCCTGCAAAAAATCTCGGCTCACCAGACAGTCCCCGCGGGGGGAAAGTATAAACAACTGGCTCAGCATCCTAAACCCTAAACCCTAAACCCTAAACCCTAAACCCTAAACCCTAAACCCTAGGGGGGAGAGAGAGAAGGGAGGGAGAAGAGAGAGAGAGGGGATGGAGGGGGGTTGTTTATTTAGATAGGAATGGGAAGGGCATTGCTTGGGGGGTTTATGCAATGACGCTAAACCCTAAACCCTAAACCCTAAACCCTAAACCCTTAACCCTATATAAACCCTCAAGACAAGGAAGAAATATATATGCGGTGTATATTATACTAGACAAACCCTAAACCCTAATCCAGTGAGTTGTAAACCCTAATTTCTCTGTTTTATACACTCATTTGTTTTTTTTTTTCTTATACACAAACCAAACCCTAAACCCTAAACCCTAAACCCTAAACCCTAGAACGCAAACAGCTCGCAGACTGCGCATGCAGGGGGCTGGCTGCTATGCCTAAACCCTAAACCCTAAACCCTAAACCCTAGACACATTAAATATCATTTCTCTTCTCTTTTTGTGGTTTATAAAGAGGTTTAGCGGCTAGCAGAAAAGGAGACAAACCCTAAACCCTAAACCCTAAACCCTAGAACGCCGTGGCTCGTCAGCCGCAAGGGTTTCGTACCCAGATGAGGGTTTAGGGTTTACACCGTAGGGTCAAACCCTAAACCCTAAACAACCTCTAAACCCTAAAACCCTAGCAGGCTCAAACCCTAAACCCTAAACCCTAAACCCTAAACCCTAAACCCTAGACTGCTGATAAACCCTCTACCCCCCTGTACAGTCTTTGTTAATATTTCTATCTCTATTGCTGCAAGATATGCTTCTGCTGCTGCTGCTGTTGCTGCTGTTGCTGTTGCTGCTACTGTTTTTGCTGCAGCTGCTGCAGTTGCTGCTGCAGTTGCTGCTACTGCTGCTGCTGTAGCTGCTGCTGCTGCTGCTATGGTTGCTGCCGCTACTGTTGCTGCTGTAGCTGCTGCTGCTGCTGCTACTGTTGCTGCTGTAGCTGCTGCTGCTGCTGCTACTGTTGCTGTTGCTACTCTTGCTGCTGCTACTGTTGCTGCTGCTACTGTCGCTGCTGTAGCTGCTGCTGCTGCTGCTATTGTCGCTGCTGTAGCTGCAGCTGCTGCTACTGTTGCTGCTGTAGCTGCTGCTGCTACTGTTGCTGCTGCTACTGTTGTTGTTGCTGCTGCTGCTGCTGGTACTGTTGCTGCTGCTACTGTTGTTGCTGCAGCAGCTGCTGCTACTGTTGCTGCTGCTGCTACTGGTGCTGGTGCTGCTACTGTTGCTGCTGCTGCTGCAGCTGCTGCTGCTGTTGCTGTTTCACGAGTAAAATGGAGTGTACACACAGCTCAGCCCCTCGGCCTTAAAAAGAAGCCCCAAACCCTAAACCCTAAAAAAGGGTTTACAGTTTGCCTAAGACCACACTAACAAGGGTTTAGGGTTTAGGGTTTTGCTGCTTCGATGCAACGAACTCCCCTTGTCTCAGGGTCTAGTCTCTGAGGGTTTAGGGTTTAGGGTTTAGGGTTTTCTATGTATCCCCTTATCCCCCAGCAGCAGATCACCCTCAGAGGGCCCCCAGCTGCAGCTTCGGGTGTATAGGCAGCTCTGCGGTGTATACGCAGCTCTGGGGTGTATAGGCAGCTCTGATAGCTGCATAATAACACCTCTGAGGTGTATAGGCAGCTCTGAGGTGTATAGGCAGCTCTGGGGTGTATAGGGAGCTCTGAGGTGTATAGGCAGCTCTGGGGTGTATAGGCAGCTCTGGGGTGTATAGGCAGCTCTGGGGTGTATAGGCAGTTAATATTTTAGTCGCCGCTAGCGCAGCCGCCGCAGCCGCAGTGTATACACTGTATAACCTGAGAGAAATGAAAAAATAAAAAAATAAAAAAATAAAAAAATAAAAATAAAATAAATTATAAAATACAGATGAAAGAACAAATAAATAAATATACAGCAGCAGCAACAAAACAAACAAACAGCAACACCACCACAGG